CCCCTCCCTGAAGAGGAGAGGCTTTGTCTAAACCACTGAGTCTCTTGGGCTTGCCGATCAGAAGGCCGGCGGTTCAAATCCACGGGATGGGGTGACCTGTGTTGCTCTGTCCCAATTTCTACCAACCTAGCAGTTTGAAAGCATACCAGTGCAAGTTGATAAATAGGTACCATTGTGGAGGGAAGGTTAACGGTGTTTCCGTGTGCTCTGGCACTTGTTACTGTGTCCCGTTGCACCAGAAGCAGTTTAGTCCTGCTGGCCACATGACCCGGAAAGTTGTCTGTGGACAAATGCCGGCTCCCTCGGCCTGAAAGTGAGATGAGCACCGCAACTCCGTAGTCGCCTTTGATGGAACTTAATTGTCCAGGGCTCCTTTACCTTTCTTAAGAAATACCAAGGGGGGGGGCACAGAGAAAGTTTCTGAGAGCATGAAGGAAAACCACACAGAACAAAGTCTTTAGGTTTACTGCAGGTCATTCTGTCCATAAGCATCATCTTTGCGTGCTGAGGTCCCACAAAAACCCCTACCCCAATAACTCAGACATCACACATAATTTTTGTTTAGGTTTTTGGCATAATTTTGGCCACAACTTTATTTTATACAAATTGAGAGTGGTTGCTTAGGCATTGGTTATGACTACCTGCCCCCCCCCCCCGCCTTGGGGGACAGCACTGACTCCTTAGCCAGTCCCGGAGGAAGCATGGTCAGAGTCAGATGGAGCTGCGTAACAGGCCCTCACTGCTCCGCGCATGTTCCTTGAAGCTTACGCGGCCCGCACCCTGCCGTCAGGGTTTGGACGAAGGGGATGGTAAGCTTCAGAATTCCTTTAACGGAATACCCGCCAGCAGCAGCATTGGAGGGGCAGGCACAGCCAATCCATACCCCTCCACCAACCAATTTTAACCAATGCCTAACCGCCAACCTTACAAGTTGTGACGATTTGCTAAGCAGTAGGCAAAACCAAAAGGCACGCACTAATCAGCCAATTGGACAAATTCCTACTGGGCCACCGCACCAATGCGAACGACCCCATGACAAGCAGAGCAAGGTCAAAGCGCAAGCCCAAAGCAAGGGAGGGCGGGCGGGAGATCCGATGTCCACAGCAAAAGAGAAAGAGAAAGCTGTGGACCCTGCTTATATAAGGGGACTAATCCCACCCCTAAATTGGCAACATCAATTTTGCCCTAGTAACAACTACATCCAATCTGCTCCAGCCCATTGCCATCAATGGGCTGGTCACTAACTGGGGGTTTTGTTTGGCCCCATCCGCAACACGTGCTCTCTTTTTATGAGAACACGCTTTATATAAACAACAACAACCCCAACCACATCCAGTCATTCTTCCTGGAATTGTTAACAGCGTTAAAAAAAGAAGAAGACGACTCCTGATTCAATTGAGCTTTCTTGAAAGGTGTCTACTTTCTAGTTTATTTGCTTTTGCTGTTCAATACACCCTTTTAGATACAGGAACCCATCTGATATTGAATCCATTCTGGTATTTTCACTTAGAATCTGAAAACAAAATCTGGAAAGCAGGGGCATTTTTGCTTTCATTTCATTAGCAGCTATTTTTTCACTTCAGATTCCTGATTCATTTTGTTCTTCCGCGAAAAGGCTCTGCTTTCCACTGTTCAGGGGTACCCTTTCAAATACAGGAATCCGTCTGATATTGGACCCATGCTGGTATTTTCCTAAAACAGAATACAGAAAGCAAGAAAACACCTTTCTTTCTTTACTTTCTTTTTACTAGCCATGAATATGCAGCACTGAGGAGGATAATATTGCTGCAACTGAAACAATGGGCGTAGCCAGGGGGGCAGGGAGTGGCAGCTGCCCCCGCTAAATCAATAAAAATCAATAAAAATACATATCTAACTGAGATTCTGCCTCCCCTAACAAAAGGCCTTCCCCCCCCAAAAAAAACACCACCGCTGGCTACGCTCATGGCTGAAACCGAAACAAGCAGTCTGTTTCACCCCATCCTTCATCAATTGTTCAATTTGGCCAGCTCACGGTATTATTTATTACAATGATATTGGCTATTTCATAAAGCCACTTCCGACATCAGGAGGAGGTGGGATTGCGGGCTCACGCCCCCAACACGTGCGCGGGACTGTTTCCAGCCCCATGCCATGAGGGGAATCCTCGGGCCGCATCATCCCCTGAGCCAGCCAATCAGCTGGCTCGGGGTGTGTGGCTTGCCCCATTTAAGGCAAGTGCGGCCCTGGGATCTCCTTCTTTGGTCCACGCAGCTGTTGTGGTTTCCCACCCACGCACCCGCCCTTTCTTTTTTTCTTTTTTAAGTTTCCCCTTCTGACCTTGCTATGGACTTCGGTTGGTCGCCGTTAAGGGGCCTGGTAGGAACTTTTTCCACTTGACAAATTGGCACTGGACATTTGGTTTTTCGTCTACCTCATAGCAAATCGTCACAACTCCTTGGTTTTGGCGGTTAGGCATTGGTAGGGGTATTGTTATGTAGATGTGTTGGGGGGGAGGAGTGCCATCACCTCCCCCAAATATTGAAGGGTAAAGGATTCCGGGGGCATTGCCTCGTCCGAAGCCTATGGAGGCCAGGGCCTAAAGCGCGCCCCCGATCAGTGACCCTGGGGGAGTCCCTAGTTGATGTGCATCAGCAGGGCTCCCCCTGCTGGTGTTGACCCTTCCCGGTTTACAAGCTAACAGGCTGAAGCCAGATAGTCTGATAGGACAAATGCCTAAGCCAATACCGCTCTTACCTGTAACCAATAAAGTTGTGCCCAATTTTAGCCCATTAACCTTAAATAATTGTGTCCTGTGTCTTTATTCCTACTGGGGGGAGGCGGGAACTCGCCACGCAACAGGCAACCTGTTGGCATTCTACTGTAAAGTTCTAGTGTGCATGTGGGTGTGTTTAGAAAACGGCACAGATGAAAGCAAACGTTTTGCAGACAGATCCCTCGCACTTCTCTTGATTCTTCTGGATCTCCTTCCTCAACAGAGGAGTTAGATCTCTTATTTCTTTGAGAAGCCTCAAAGATGGTGGTGGCAGAGGATTGAAAGCTGTAATACGGTTAAAACCAATCCTATATTAATAGACTTATGAGACAATTTAATAGTAGGCTTGGTGGCTCAAAGGATTAATGGAATGATAGCTCTCAACATAATTGCAAGAATCCAGTCAAGTCATGCAAAGATTCATATTGGGGTAACTGTAAGGATTTCAACCTCACAACACTATGGACTAAGCGAGGTAAAGGTAAATGGACTCCTGACCATTAGGTCCAGTGGCAGGCGACTCTGGGGTTGCGGCGCTCATCTTGCTTTATTGGCTGAGGGAGCCAGCATACAGCTTCCAGGTCATGTGGCCAGCATGACTAAGCTGCTTCTGGCGAACCAGAGCAGCGCACGGAAACGCCGTTTACCTTCCTGCTGGAGTGGTACCTATTTATCTACTTGCACTTTGACGTGCTTTCGAACTGCTAGGTTGGCAGAAGCAGGGACCAAGCAACGGGAGCTCACCCCATTGCAGGGATTCGATCCGCCGACCTTCTGATCAGCAAGTCCTAGGCTCTGTGGTTTAACCCACAGCACCACCTGCATCCCTATGGACTAAGTGAAACTTACAGCAAAAATAAGAAAGCAACATGGAGGACTATTCATGGAAGAACGGAAGCCCTTTTGGGAGCGTCTGGGGGAGGGGATCACAATCAGATGAAATTGCGAGCTGGATTTGAAATATGAGCATGATAATATAGGAAACAGAAGAATATGTTTTAGGGGAGATGTTTATTAGATTGCAGCATGTAAATGGGACGGAGTTGAGAACAGCATGGAGGAAAAGGAGAAAAATCAAAGTTTAAAGAGAAATGTACAAAGTTTGGAATTTATATGTAATTTTTAAAAAGTTGGTAAAAATTTGATACCAATACAACAACAAACAAACAAACAACCCTTTAGCTAGAAGTGCTGTTTGCAGCCAGCCTATGCAACTGATTCCCAGAAACGGATGAGTGAATCTGTTATTTTCGATTTCTCTCGAATCTTCATTTTTCAAACCCTATTTTCAGTTCTCCTCATTTCAGCATCAGTTTGCAATTTGTTCATTTTTTTAAAAAAGTCATTCTCATAATACATGCCATTTTTGCCTCACAGATACAAGTTCCCAGAGCAATTTTCCTTAATACAATGCATTGCCATATCTTATTTTCATTAACATGTAGGTTCTTATGCATTGTTTTAACCTTGAACCTGGATTTTTCTGAACATTACTTGACTGGAGGACTGCATTTGAAAATTTGGAAAAGTGCCACATTTCGAAGACTGCTGTGATTCAGTTCAGGCAAAAATCTGTTTACCTTTCAATGCGAACTGAATCAAATCTCTGCCCCATCCCTATTCCCAAGCATCATATATTTTGTAAAATAAGTTTATTTACAATTTTCATTTATAACAAATAAACATTTCAACAAAGAAACTAAAAGAATGGAAGACAAAAGATGAACAAGTGAAATTGGGCAATAGATATTGGTTATAACAGAAATGGAGGTATGGGAAAGACTGTGGAACATGGACATAAAATTTGCAGCATGTTATGGTTTAAGATAAAACTATATTCAAATGTTGTACAGATGATATCTAACACCAAGTAGATTGGCAAAAATGTATAAATCAAAATTGAATATGTGCTGGAAATACAAAAGGAAAGAAGGTACCTTTCTCCATATGTGGTGGCCTTGTAATAAGGTTAAAGCTTATTGGGAAATGATATATAATGAATTGAAAAATGTATTTAAGTTAACTTTTGTAAAAGAAAAGAAACAGAAGCTTTTCTCTTGGGAATTATGGGATCAGAGTTACCTAAACAATATAGAAATTTATTTATGTATGCAACCACTGCCGCAAGAATGATATTCACCCAAAAATGGAAAGAAAAAGAAGTCCCCGTGAAAGAATAATAGTTACAGAAATTAATGGACTATGCAGAAATGGTGAAATTTACTGGAAGAATAAGAAATCAAGACAACAGACTTTTTATCAAGGATTGGAAATCGTTTATTGAATATTTATTACAAACAAATTGTAAACAAATTGAAACATTAGCCGGGTTACTGTAAAAAAAACTTGCAGTTTCTAAAATGTATATGAAATAGATGAGGAAAAGAATAGAGTCCATTCGGATATGAAGAAGAGGGCAAAAGAGGGTAAATTCATGGAGAAGGGAAGTCGAAGTCCCAAAACAAGTGTGCCTATGCCGTCTCAATTAGCAATAAACACAAACTGGAAGTAATTTTTTTCCAGCCCTGTCTCTAGCAGAGTGGACAGCTGAGTCCCAGTAAATGGACACAAAATTCAGAAGGCATAATGGGACCAGAAGAACGCGATTCATATGCTTTCATATGCCTCAAACCCAGGACAGCATCTTTGCAAAGGCTTCAGAAACAAAGGTTTGGTTGACATAGGAAATTTGGGTTTTACTTTATTCCCAGCCTAGTGTTTTCAGTCATAGTTTTGCTGTACAGCAGACTCGGAGGTAAAAGCAGCGACTGTGGGTTTCTTCCACAGATTTAAGGCTTCATTTAAACTCAGCAATGTAAGGCAAAGTATAGTCTGCTTCCCTTGCCTCCATTCATGTGGACAAGAGGCAAAACAATGTGTTTAAGGGCCACATAGACAAAACATATGGATTTTTCACAGCTTTGGAGATAACTGATGTTTTGCTCATGTATCTGTTTGATTTCATGCACTTTTGTTTTCAGAACATGTTCGGGGCTGTCTGGTAGCCTTTGATTCTCAGCCATCTTTTTGTTTTTCCTCCCAAGACGTGCTGTTTAATCTTTCCTGTTCAGACGCCGGCATCACGGTGGGCAAAACATTAGGGAACAGAGGCTCCGAGTATGAAACGAAAACAGACACCTGTTGCCAATAGAACATGCTGGTATAATGGCCATCTGATGTCCTAGTGGGATTAAAAAAATAATAATTAGAAAATAAATATTATTGTTAATTTTTTTAAAAATAAAGACGTTGGTGAGCATGGCATACGAGTCTGGCCATTGAGATGTATTTTTCCATTTTCTTTTATTTTTTGCTTTCAGCTTAACTTTTGCTACCAGGACAAAAGGGGGAAGAAGAATGCAGTCGTTGTGGTTAAACCATCATTTATAAAGACAGGGAAATTTGCTCCATGTGATGCTTCCTCCTTTTGCATCTTGAGTTCCGAAAAGAGCTCCTCTTTGTGCTAATTATTTTTTTTTTAATAAAAAAACCCAGTGTTTTAAAAGTCATCTTGAAAAGGGGCAGGGGGCAAACACACATGACTTCCCAAATTGCCTGTAGCTTTCCTGGCACAGAAAGGAGAAATATTTCTTCATCTCACGTTGCATAATCATTTTTGACGTATTGTTTGTTCCAGCTCAGGGTTGCTTTCATCAAACCACAAATCCAGCGGAATAGGAGAAATGTTCTTTCTCTTTTTCTCCTTTCCTTTCACAAGGCTAACGAGAGTAATCATGGAATACAGTGTACTAGGAAACATCGTTGTTGTTCACTAATATCCCCCTCTGCTGATGTACCACTTTCCTGTAGCTGCCCCAGTAAGCCTGCAGCTGACTTCTCGGCGGATTTTACTTGGCATAAAAACAAGGAGGCTGCAATCCTACGCTCACTTACCTGCATGGGAGTAAGCCTCATTGAAATTAATTGGACTTACCTGTGAGTAAGCATAACTAGGATTGCTCTATAGAGATAAAAAGAGGATGGGAGGGGATGCCTTATAACATGAAATAAGTAAGACATTTAATAATAATAATAATAATAATAATAATAATAATAATAATAATAATAATAATTTATTTATACCCCACCCATCTGGCTGGGTTTCCCCAGTCACTCTGGGTGGCTCCCAACAGAATATTAAAAACACGATAAAACACCAAACATTAAAAGCTTCCCTAAACAGGGCTGCCTTCAGATGTCTTCCGAAAGTCGGATAGTTGTTTATTTCCTTGACATCTGATGGGAGGGTGTTCCACTATCAAGAAGGCCCTCTGCCTGGTTCCCTGCAACCTCGCTTTTCGCAGTGAGGGAACCTGCAGGAGATTGTTTATGTATGCGACAACAGCAGCAAGAATTTTATTATCACAAGCATGGAAAACAGAGAAAACGCCAACAAAGGAAAAATGGCAAGTTAAGCTTATGAACTACGCGGAACTGGCTAAGCTGATAGAGAGGATACATGAGAGAGAGAGAGAGAGAGAGAGAGAGAGAGAGAGAGAGAGAGAACATCGATTTCAAAAAGGAGTGGGAACCATTTATAAACTATATAAAAAGACAGTATAAAGATTTGGACCCATTGGCAAGTTTTGACTAAACTTTCACAACTATATAAGAGGTAAAACCAGCAGGGTATAGAATTTGTTTCATAAATCAATACGGAAATAAGGAGGGAGGCCAAAGAGGGGGGAGGGGAGAAATATGGATATATAAATTGTTCAGTTAAGATTTGTGGAAAATTTGTTGTTATAATTTGAAAATTCAATAAAAATTGTTTTTTTAAAAAAATCAAACATTAAAAACTTCCCAATACAGGGTTGCCTTCAGATGTCTTCTAATAGCCAGATAGTTGTTTGTTTCCTTGACATCTGATGGGAGCGTGTTCCACAGGGAGGGCGCCACTACCGAGAAGGCCCTCTGCCTGGTTCCCTGTAACCTCACTTCAATTGCCAAGTATTTCCTGGGTGATTCAGACTTTCGACATACTGTATTTTTCGCTCTATAGGACACACTTTCCCCCCTCCAAAAATGAAGGGGAAATGTTTGTGCGTCCTACGGAGCAAATACAGGCTCCTTGGCTTCAGCAAAAGCAACACGAAGCCTCAAAAGTGCAGAGGGAGCGCTCCCTCCGCACTCCCTCCGCCCTCCGCTGAAGCCTGGAGAGCGAGAGGGGTCGGTCGCTCTCCAGGGTTCAGGGATAGCTGCCTGAAGCCTTTGGAGCGCAGTGGTATCTTGCGCTGCGCTCCAAAGGCTTCGGGTTCCTTTTGCTGAAGCCGGGAGAGCAAGACTCTCCTGGCTTCAGCGAAAGGAACCCGAAGCCTTTGGAGTGCAGCGGGACCTCGCACTGTGCTGCAAAGGTTTGGGGGTTAGCTGCGCAAAGCCTCCGCAGGGCAGCGGGGTGAAGGCCTGCGGAGGCTTGAAAGGCTGTCCCTGAAGCCAGAACAGAGAGACGCACTGCGCAGCGTCTCGCTGTTCTAGCTTGAGGATGCCGGGGCTTTATGGGGAAACCCCGGGCTTCCCCCTTCAGCCCTGACACTGATTTGATTCAAAATATTTTTTACTTGTTTTCCTCCTCTAAAAACTAGGTGCGTCCTTTACTCGGGTGCGCCCTATAGAGCGAAAAATACGGTATATGACACCCTTCCCTAACTGAGGCATCTACCCTGTCTGTTTCTCTAATCCTTCTAGGTTCATAGGTTCGGGCCTGCTGTTTTTCTGCCCCTCTATCACTTCTGACCACTTTTCTGCCTGCCATTGCCATCCTTCGCAGCCATTATCACCTAGCGATCTGAAAGCGTTTCCCTCTACTGCCAATCCTTTTCCATCTTTGCGACTGCATTATAGACTTTTCTCCTTCAGAGTAACCAGTCTGCGTGTCATGTTGCAGCATTCTACGGAATGTATCTATATCTCTACCAGGGTAAACACTTCTTACAGCAATAATAAGAATAATAATGAAATATGACAGCCAATTATGTCTAAATGCAGTGTTTCGGAAAGAAACCTTCCATATGCTAATTTACATTGTTTTATGCACCGTTAGGTCTCTCGCTGTCATAGGGCTGACTGTGCAATGGGTATCCGTAGAAATGATCTTTAAAAGCTTGGATTCTAATTAGGGTTGCTTGGGCTGTCACTCAGCAAGAGTTCTTCACGTGAGGGTTATAGCGATGGCTTGATTACTACCGAGTGTCAGAAGGTCGTCCTGGATCTCTCTTTGATCATCTCCGTAATTGCCTAGCAAGGGGAGACAAACGGAAAGGAGATAACTGTTACAGAAGGCTGGTTAGCATTTGCATTCACGGTTAGAGCTCGCAGCTCACAGGATCAGCCTTGGCTGGCTGGCATCCCCTCTGCTTGGGATTTGTAATATCTGTTTGTGTGGTTGGCACCCAGCGGTCCAGAAGTAAAAGCTTTCTCTTGAGAAACAGATTCAGCTAGGTAGCCGTGTTGGTCTGATGCAGTCGAAATAGAAATAAATAAAAAATTGTCCAGTAGCACCTTATAGACCAACTAGGTTTGTTCTGGTATAAACTTTCGTATGCATGCACACTTCTTCAGATACACTGAAGCAGAAGCCACCAGACCAGGGGTCATCAAACTTACCGCTCCTCGGGTCGGCGTCTCCAGCGCCGATCGCGCAGCGGGCCAGAGGACGGGGATGCGTGTGCCCATACGCGTGCACACACGCTATTTCGGGCACACTTCCAGGTCGGAGGAGCACTGGAAATAGCTTGTGCACAGGCCTCCTCCAACCCGGAAGTGGGCAGCCATGTAGCACAGCACCAGTAAGAGTGAGCGGCAGCAGCAGGTGTCGGGGGTTGCCGCGGGCCGGATAAATCAGTCCCTCGGGCCTTATCCAGCCCGCAGGCCTTAGTTTGGGGACCCTTGCACCAGACCCTTATATATAGTGGGAGGGTGGGGGTATTGCTCAGAAGAGTAGTAGGAGATGGGTGATTGGCTTAATGGGTATGGTAAGCCTGCTGACGACTGTTAAAACTGTTAACGACTGCAATTAGTCCTACAGGAAAAAGCAAGGGATGACCAAAAATAGCTTTAGCATGAGTAATGAGACAAGAATCCAATATCTCTATTAAGACCAGGTCTCTCCATAGTTTTCAGTTTGGTAATAAGTTGTAATTCAGCAACTTCTCTTTCAAGTCTATTTCTGAAATTCTTTTGTAATAAGACAGCTGCTTTGAGATCTTGTATTGAATGTCCTGGGAGACTGAAGTGTTCTACTGGTTTCTCTGTCTTGTGATTCCTGATGTCAGATTTATGTCCAGGGTTTGGCCTGTAGGGTTTGGGAAACAGTTGGAACTGAGCAGGCATTCTTCAGAGTGGTCCCAAGATGGATGCCGGAAGGAAAACCCTACGCCGGAAGAGTTTGATTTGGATTTGATATGCCGCTTTATCACTACCCGAAGGAATCTCAAAGCGGCTAACATTCTCCTTTCCCTTCCTCCCCCACAACAAACACTCTGTGAGGTGAGTGGGGCTGAGAGACTTCAGAGAAGTGTGACTGGCCCAAGGTCACCCAGCAACTGCATGTGGAGGAGCGGGGAAGCGAACCCGGTTCCCCAGATTACGAGACTACCGCTCTTAACCACTACACCACACTGGCTCTCTCACTGGCCGGAAATCAAGAAATAAAACCCATTGAAGTGGACAAGGCGAGACCAGGGGTCAGCAAACTTACCGCTCCTCGGGTCGGCATCTCCAGCGCCAATCGCGCAGCGGGCCAAGAGGACGGGGATGCATGTGCTCATACGCATGCACACACGCTATTTCGGGCACACTTCCAGGTCAGAGGAGCACTGGAAATAGCTTGTGCACAGGCCTCCTCCAACCCGGAAGTGGGCAGCCGTGTAGCACAAGCACCAGTAAGAGTGAGCGGCAGCAGCAGGTGTCGGGGGTTGCCGCGGGCCGGATAAATCAGTCCCTCGGGCCTTATCCAGCCCGCAGGCCTTAGTTTTGGGGACCCCTTGCACCAGACCCTTATATATAGTGGGAGGGTGGGGGTATTGCTCAGAAGAGTAGTAGGAGATGGGTGATTGGCTTAATGAGTATGGTAAGCCTGCTGACGACTGTTTAACAAACTGTTAACAACTGCAATTAGTCCTACAGGAAAAAGCAAGGGATGACCAAAAATAGCTTTAGCATGAGTAATGAGACAAGAATCCAATATCTCTATTAAGACCAGGTCTCTCCATAGTTTGGTAATAAGTTGTAATTTAGCAACTTCTCTTTCAAGTCTATTTCTGAAATTCTTTTGTAATAAGACAGCTGCTTTGAGATCTTGTATTGAATGTCCTGGGAGACTGAAGTGTTCTACTGGTTTCTCTGTCTTGTGATTCCTGATGTCAGATTTATGTCCAGGGTTTGGCCTGTAGGGTTTGGGAAACAGTTGGAACTGAGCAGGCATTCTTCAGAGTGGTCCCAAGATGGATGCCGGAAGGAAAACCCTACGCCGGAAGAGTTTGAATTTGGATTTGATATGCCGCTTTATCACTACCCGAAGGAGTCTCAAAGCGGCTAACATTCTCCTTTCCCTTCCTCCCCCACAACAAGCACTCTGTGAGGTGAGTGGGGCTGAGAGACTTCAGAGAAGTGTGACTAGCCCAAGGTCACCCAGCAGCTGCATGTGGAGGAGCGGGGAAGCGAACCCGGTTCCCCAGATTATGAGACTACCGCTCTTAACCACTACACCACACTGGCTCTCTCACTGGCCGGAAATCAAGAAATAAAACCCATTGAAGTGGACAAGGCGAGACACAGTGGTGATGGCAAGAGAGCTAACAGAACCGAACAACAGGGGCAAAGGCCCGTTCTTGTGGTGCCAGCCTCTGGACCTCTCATGGAGGAGGCACACAAAGAAGGGCCTCCGATGATGTCTGGGTCAGTTCATATATTGCAACACTTTGTGAGGTAAGGTGTTAGTACACCCATTTTACAGATTGGACAGCTGAAGCTGGGCCAGTGGAATTAATTTCAGAGATGTCATTTGGAACTATGCCTCAGTCCAGCATTCCACTGATTCTCAACGTGTTATTTACCAAAGGTGTCATGGGCTTTGAAGATGCTGGAACTCAGGACGAAAGGGAGAAACGCGCTAAGAGAAAGGCACGCTTGGCAAACCCTCACAATGATGAACTCCTGCCCAGAAGCCAATATCCCGACTGTGGAAGGATTTGTGGATCCAGAATTGGCCTCCACATCACTTATGGACTTACTGTTAAGACCATGTTCATGGAAGACAATCTTACTTGGCTATGAGTGATCACCAAAGAAGAAAATTAGAAGGGCTATGCACACATATTTCGTTTAGAAGAATTTGACATTCAGAAGGAAAGTGGGGAGCGATGATGATAGACTAGATCAAAACATGGGGAGGTGTCCATCTCCCATTCCTGCTAGACATATTGTTGTTGTTCAACTGATGCAGTTGATGTTAAAATACCGTGTCTTGTCTTTTGTTGAATGAAGTTAGATTGGATACAATACAGAACTAATGAGCCGTATTGAGATAAGGTTAATCACTTGCCATGCTATTGCATACGAATTGCTTGAGATGGCAATATTTCTCATTTGAAAGTCACTGAATAGCTTGGGAAGGAAGACAACTTTGTTAAGTGGACAACAGCTCTGAGCACGCTAGCTTTGCAGAGGGAAATATGAAGGTCATTTCATTAATTGTAACCACCGTCAAGTTAGGGCGAGCTCTCGCCCTCTCTGGAAGTGATAACCAACATATGATCGCCTCATCACTTCCCAGTAGATTTACTAATCCCCCATCCTTTGCTAGATAATTGCCTGGCGAGATAAGAAAACATGATGTACGGCAGCATTTTCACAGGGTAATCAAAGGACAGCTGCAAATGTCACATGAACAATGTATTAAGTAAATTCCCCTTTTATACTTGGACTCAGATCCATAGAGGAGTTGCTGTTGTTGTTGTTGTTAATTTATGAAATTTGTAGCCCAAGATCCCAGGGCAGTTCACAACAGAAAAATACTGCCTCAAAAGTTGTGTGTCTCTCCTTCTCTGTACTGAGTGGTGGCAAGTGCCATTGGGTCCCAGGTCTGTGTCCCTTGGAGAACTGAGACACAGCAGAGACTGTCGTAGCTTTAAGAAATGTGGTATATTCGCCTATTTACACCTTCATTCTGTGTGGAGGGAGTCCAGATCTTACAGCATGGTTATTCAAGAGGAGCTTGTACCCCACAGCAGGGCAGCCATGGCAGTCCAAGGCATCTCTCCCAGCCAGCCTGCCCAAGATGGATCCCATTCTTTCTTCTTCCCTCTCCTTCCCAGAACACCCTGTTAAAAACACTCTTCCTGTCACCTCACACCCAGTTACCCTGGCAACCTTCCAAATGTCCCAGTCTCTGTTCACACCTCAGGGCAAGGGAGCAGGACAATTCTCTTGCATTGCCAATGGCCCGTATTGTTTCTTAATGGTCGTAGCCTGGCCAGGTCATTTTGCATAGGCTAGCCCAGGAATTCCTCTGCAGCTTGTATTTCTCCCTTTGCATCCCAAATGACCAAAATTGTACCATTTATTTTCATTTTCACAAAAGGGAAATACAAAAGACACAAAAAACTGAAACAAAAAACAAACCAATAACACACATACATCAAAAACTATTCCACTGGAAAAATGGTGATGTCCCTGTGGAGATGGCAGTACAGTGGAACCTCAATTTTTGAACGTAATCCATTCTGGAAGACTGTTCGACTTCTGAAGTGTTTGAAAACCGAGGATCAAAGGGCTATCAGCAAAGTCTATGGTGAAAATTGAGAAACGCGCCTTGTTGCTGACACACTTTTTATACACGCATCATTTCTTGACACAGTAATTCAGTTTTACTAGCAAACCAGAGGTTAAACCAGGCACCCCCAACCTTCGGCCCTCCAGATATTTTAGACTACAACTCCCATCATCCCCAACCACTGGTCCTGTTAGCTAGGGATCATGGGAGTTGTAAGCCAAAACATCTGGAGGGCCACAGGTTGGGGATGCCTGGGCTAAACTAACCCCTTTTGAACCGCGGGAGGAGTGTGGGGAGCATTCAACAACACAACTACACACTGCAGCTGACACACTAACACATAGGTAGGCAACCTAAGGCTTGGGGGCCGGATCTGGCCCAATCGCCTTCTAAATCCGGCCCACGGACAATCTGGGAATCAGCGTGTTTTTTACATGAGTAGCATGTGTCCTTTTATTTAAAA